AAAATTATTTGAAAGTTAGAACGACATGACGTTTTCCCCGCTCATGAACAATGTAAAAAGATAAGAAGGAGGTACCTTTTTTTCCGCTCTAGAATATTGGAAGGGAAAGGAAAATTGGTTGCCATAATATTAATAAGTTCGCCAAGTGAATTATTCTTGGCGCAACTGAAAAAAAATTGTACCAAGATAAATTTTTGAATTTCTCCATAAATTTCGCACCAAAGTTTACAAAATTTAATATTTAGGCGTAATTTAAGTCGTAGATAAGAAATATAAAAAGCAACTATCATCTCATTTCAGAAAAATTCTGATTTTATATAAAAATACCTGTGTTATTAGAACAATGCCGGTAAAACCAAAAATATAGAAACCGTCCCATTTTTTTTGCGCAGTATATACGACGTTGAAGTCTGCTTTTGAATTATCACGAAGTCTCTTAATGTACTACAAAGTCAAGAGAAGAGTGCATAGAGCCATTTATTGAGTCGAATAAAGTTTAAAAGTCGGCAACAACTCGTATTTACAACTTTTACTGCAACACTTTGGACTTAAATAAAAAGGGTAATGAATAAATTTAAAAGTGGATGAAGTTAAGTATAGCCTAACGGCTTAACATTTTAACTATCTCGAAAGCTGGCGACAATTAACAATTCAGGCTGGTTTAGTTTTTAATACTCGTTTCAACATGTTTTATATGTTTGTTAAAACGGAAGCATTTAGTAATTTGGTAATTGCTGAGTGCCATTCTTCTAGAGATGAAAGAGTTTTATACAAAACCTAGTTGGCTTGGGTTAAAACGTTTCAAAGTATGAAAGCGAAGACATTTTCTTAGTAGCAAAAATGAAAACATTATATCGTCATTAATATGGTTGCAACTGTAACTTTTATTTTACCGATGTACAGCAAAAATAATTATCAAAAACGGTATTTTCTTCATGAACGAACTTTGATTCATTCAGAGGATAAAGTTTCTGTTTGAATTGTAAAAGCGATTTTAATTTAAAAATATTATTTTAAAAATAATTTCTGTATGGAATTTTATGGTTTCTGAAAGAAAGAGCAAAACTTCAAGAAGAATTTAATCATCGAGATGTATGACATTCAAGACAAAATTGATTTCTGTAACGATTCGATTTTCCTGTTAAAAGTTAATATAACAATACAAATTGTAATAAGAATAAACAAACAGAAATTTAGCTATTTAAAGAAGCTGCAGAAATTTATTCACCGGCATAAAAATGGCGTAACAATGTCTGTACATCTAAACAATATCAAATTATGTTAATTTATCATACGTATATTTTTAACTTTATCAATCCTCTCATAACGGTTATAAATCACAAACTTCTATTGATTTGCTTTCACATTTGTTCTCTTGCTGTTCTCAGGTTATGAGATGTTTTATGCAAAGGCAGTTTCTATAACATGCTGCAGAGATTTGCTTTGTTTCAAGTGTAGTAGTAAAAATGTCTAGCATCTTTCTGATTTATGAGCGCTAGAACACCTACACAAATTATTAGCTGACTATGAGGGTCACTCTGAAATTTTTGAGACAACATTTCAACATAGGTTTCTAAAGTTATACTTAAACGAAATTGTAGGGGAGTTCAAAGCAGTCTCTTGCAGCATCAATGCACTTCTGTTGGGGAATTTTTCAAAGATTAAATGCCTAAAGTTATTCATTTCTTGGAATCAATGAACATAATGCATTTATAACCTCATGAGTTCTCCTCATCGGAATGAATACGATGACCATGTATGTACTTTTCTAGATAAAAAATAGCAAAAGGTCACACATAGCGATATCGAGTGAATATGGAGAATGTTCTGTCACGCTAATGTGTTTTTCAATCTTGCTGAATGAGAAGATGCACAGTCACGGTGAAGTATGAATCCTTTAATGTGTACTTCTTGAAGAATTTCTGGAAGGCACTTTGTGGTGAATCACTTGCCATGACTACCTTCTGCCTTTCCAGTTTGACTGCCTTGACAAGTACTATACTTCTGAAGAAAACGGCATATGTTACTTTTTGCACGGCTTTAGTTTTCACCATTCTAAACGTGCGATCATCAAAATTTATTTTCTTGATGTATTAGAATGTCAAAAAATGGTATGTGCGTTTCATCACCAGTTACGATTCTAGAAATAATTCGGTGGCCACCATCTTCAAGTACTTTAAGGGCTTCTTTACTGATTATGACACGGTTCCCTTTTGGGTGCTCAGTTAAATTACGGAGAATCCAACGACAAACTAGTTTTTTCATATGCATTCTTCATGAATAATTTTATTTATGGCAGCTGATCCAATGATAAATTCCTTCTGCATTTACTGCCCCCCGCCCCACTGAGTAGTAATTTCGCTGCATTTGGTAGCTGCAGCGATTATCATCGATTGCCATTTTCCGTATAGCAAACACATTATCCGGGATTACTGCTGCCAAAGGCCTTCCTATGTGCTCTTCCTCTCGGGTTGCAAACTCTATGAAACTCTGCAAACTATCTGAATACATTAGCACGAGATGGACTTTCGTTTTCAAATGCTAACTGTAGATGTCGAATGCATTCTTCTTGATTTAATTCCAGTTTAAAATCCTAGAAAATCATAGCCGATGATATTTAGCGACAACTCCAAATTCCCTTTTCCTTGAAATTTATCCTATGCTAAACTACTTGCAATTGCCCTATAAAAAATCGCTTGCTAGGCTAAAATAGCTCATATTTTTAAATCTAATGGTTAATTTGTTTTCTGCCTCTTTTCTTCTGCGCGTGTCTAAATTATTTCTGAGTAACCTGGGTACAAAGGATTTTGCGGATACATTTTATGAGTTTTTCATTAGTAATTCTTTTCCCATTAACTTGCCACCACTTTCGTCCAAACTTTATCTTTTTTTTTTGGGGGGGGGACGGGGCGGAACTTGTAAGCCTTGACATAATTGAATAATCAAAATATCGCAGGTCACTGTATGTGCAAAGCATCATCGAGAATAAATTGAGATCTGGATAAATACACCATTCTCTTTCTTCAAGATGGATAACACATTTAATGGGTTCTTTAGACATCTTTTAAGGTTTCAAGGTCTGATTATGAGGATCATATTTTTAACGCTGCAGTCCATACGCTTCATTAAATTAGGTTGAAATTGACATGATTACACGTTTTTTTTTTTTCTCCTCTTATCTTATTTGCATTGTTTGCACATACTAGAATTTCAATTACAATATTTTAGTGAAGTGATTTAATTACTTAAATTATTCCACTGCTTACACTTAAGTGTAAAGCACCTGCTAGCGGAATTTTTATCTGCATAATTTTTTTCACATCCTTTGAATATTCTATCAGTCCACTTATGAATGAAAACTGCAAATTGCTCTGAAGAAGCAAGTTTTAAATTAGGCCCTGCATATCCAGCAACAATTTTATAAGAATAATCAAATGATCTTCTTAGTTGATGACAAAATTGTTTTGGGGAAAAATTTAGTTTTGTCAGGTAATATTATTTTATTCGATATTAAATAATATTTTTGATTAATTAATCTGATACATTACTGAAACATAAATCTGGTTTAAAAATATTCAGTAATTTTAAAATACATTTGTTGTAATCCAGTTTAATTGTTTCTTTCTTATTTTAGAATATCATATGATATATAATAATAATTTGATTACATGAGTATATTCATGATATTATATATCAGCAAGAATATAAGGTTACAGAAGAATGAATGAAGAAAATATATCGAAGCTCGTTGACATGACAGAGTAATTAGGAATTGGTTTCCCAACTTCAAATCAAAGGAAATAGATATGCTAAAATGAACCAAGGTCCTTTTCTCGTTTGACAAGAGATCATTGCATTTTAATGAGCTCTAATTAACCCAATTCCACGCAGTTTCTTCATTTTAAAACTAGTCTTCTAAAGTAATCGTAATCGATTCTTTTCGCAGCAGTAGTATTACTGGAATTGCATCTTGAAAAAGCAATTAAATTATATTTTGTCATTTTATTTGCTTTGTGCAAAATCTCTTTAAAATTTGCCTTCCATATAAAAACAGATGCACAGTAAAAATTATCAGGCAAAAGAAAAGCTTAGAATAATATGATTAATGAACTTTATAAAACAAGTTACTGTTGGAAGAAAATGAAAGAATTACTTTTCATGAGAGTGTGAATACTTAGCACAAAAGCATTATTTGTTAATTATAATAAATGAGTAAATGTTAAAGAAGTTATCAGTTGTATTGTAAATATCCTCATAGGATTATACTCTAAATTATATACTTGGATGTAAATATCAAATATTACATTTCATCTAACAGAGATATTAGAAAATAGAGAGAAAAATGAATTATTAAGAACATCCTTTACATTTTAATCGTTATTAAATTAGAAATTATTAAGAACATCATTTACTTTTTAATCGCTATTAACTAATTTAGAGCCTTCTTTGAGAGATAAATTAAAGCTAGATCTAGAATGCTTCTAGAACTGGCAATTTGCAGACTCAATTTTAAAGTAAATAATTTTCCTCTTCGAACTGCAATTCATGCCAAAACATGAGGATTATAAAAGTAAGGTAAGATAAGGTAAATCAGGCAACTAATGAAAAGTTTAACGTATAATATTTTATGATGGCAAAAAATAAAAACCTGCATCAAGTTTTGAAAATCTATTGCAAAATATAAAATTTCAGTGATATCTAAGTCCTAAATCGAATTTTGATTCCATATTAAATTCGCTGATGGGGAAATTTTGTTTCTATCAATTAAAATTTCAATTCTACTACGAGAAAGCAGTTTCTCTTTTGAGTTTAAATACTGGAATGCTTCAGTTTGTGATGCTGATAGATACATTATCAAATAATATATGACCTTCTAAACATGTTCATCTATCGTATTTCTAAAAATTCCTTATTCTCCAGAACATATACTCACTACACTATTTGACACAGAAAAATCAATGTAACAAGAATTGATTAATGAATAGAGCTTTCATACATACCCTGACTGTTCTATGCTTCTTTTTCAAGTGCATTTTCCTTAAATAGAAGGCACATACAGCTGATATTATAACAATGCATGCAGCAACGCTAGTCCCAGCTGTGAAAGCTGAATGTTGCCATATCTCTCCAGTGCTATCTGTATAGAAAACATTGTAGACTATAAGTACAGAAAAGAAAATATGTTGTATGCACAGCGTGAGCAAAACGTTCTAATTTTAAACATACCATTAATGATACTCGACAGTGAAACGAAAAGTTAATAACTATGTTTAAGACATATTTTGCTACAGATCATTAATCAAGCTGAAACTAAAATAAACGTAAAAGGCATAATAAATATTTTCTTTGCGTTTAACACGGCATTACTCTTACTGACAAATTTAAAAAAAAATCAGATTTAGAAAAAAAAAAATATTTCTATTGATCGTATACGAAAAGGAAAAAGCGGTAATGGATTTTTAAGAAATATTTTACACAGCAGAAATTATTGTACTACATAAATTACAAGTGAACTTTTACTAGGAAAGAAATAAGCTAATTATGTATAATCTTTTAAAAATTAATGGGAACATTCCATAGACAAATACAATGTTGCTAAATATTAATTATATTTAATACAATATATTAAAAAATGCACTAAAAATTTATTCTTGCAAAAAGTTTTGCAAAATTTAAATATTTCGTAAATATGCATAGATTCTTTCCTTATGGCTGCTACTACATTTTTTTATTCAATAATCAAGGCTAAATATTCGTTAAATATATTCAATTAGCATATCAAAGCTTGTATACGTAGAAGTAACAAATAATCGAACCCGAATATTTGCATTTAATTAGCGTTTGGAAAGGGATATAACTTAGCAATTATATTGCGCGGCACTATGACGTAATTATATTGCGCGGCACTATGACGTATCAAAAGAGAGTTATTCTGATCGCATAAAGCTGATTTTATTGATATTGAACCTTATTGATATTGATCTCATCTAGAAATCAGTGAATATTTTGATATGGCAAATATTTAAAGAAAAGAGAAAATGTTTACTGAATTTATTAAAATAGCACACTTCTTCTTAGTTTAAAATAAGACTTAAAAGGAAATGATTTCCCAATTGAGAAAGGTTTTGAATAATTAGTTAATTTGCTGAAAGCCTTTGCAAATCTAGGTTGGTGGCATAAGTGTTTACTATTTAGAGTTATAAAAGTTTCAGGAACTAAATATATATTCAAAGTACAGGCAGCATGTTTACTTTTATACCCACAGTTTTAGTAGATAAACATATTATACATTTACTTTAATATAACTGGCACACTTCCGGACTCATGATAACTGGTTTCTTGGCTCTGTTTATATTTTGCTAGTTACTTAACGCTTCTTTAATGCTCTTGAGCAAAAACTGGCTAGGTACTTACGACGAAATCTCCTTTCCTGAATTTTGCAGAGATAACTTTAATAAGAGATTTTAATAATAATCGTTGTTAATGATAGCGAATTTCTTGATGCACACATATATTTCTATTTTTGACTACTTAAGGCCACCTTCTGAAACATTTGAAATCATGAGTTATATATCTAAAAAAAATTTTTCTATATTTATTTTTCGTCTTATTAAGTAAAACCTTTAATTAAAAAAAGGAAAATCTAAAAGCCTTTAGATTTTATATTATGCCCAAACGTGCGTAATTTTTTTTTTTCATTTACAGGCGCATTCACGTTTCAAGAGCATTTGGGCTAACGTAATATCGGGCTAAAAATATTTAAAAACAGCATATCTTTAGAATTTCTGATCGAAAATATCGCGTGCTGGAGATAAAAATGTTTTATTCCCTACATTGTAGCAATTGCTCGTTTTGAAATTGTTGAGCGTTTGAATAAAAAATTCGTTAAAATTTTACAAAATATGAATCAGATAATAAGAATTAATTTCATGTTCCAAATTCGAGTTTCCAGGTGCTCACGTTCGGGTGGAGGACTTGATGGCTTTAGGAACCGTTGATCTTTCACAATAGGAGAAACATACATACATTCATGCAGATTCTTCATTATTTAGCTTCTCTTAATGTAATACAGGGCGATGATATTTGGTGGAAACAATCTGAAAAGTGAGAAGCCCGTTTATAGTGATTTGAAATGCCGTTTCGAGACTAATAGCCCTTCTAGCCTACCGCCCATTTGGGCTAATTATCTTTCTTATTGAGAATGTTAAAATGTAGTTTGAACAACTTTGTTATCCGACGAGTGCTCACGGAGCTTTTATTAATTTACATTTTGAAATTATAATTTTAAACTTAAAATTTCTTCTCTTTGTCGTCATACAGTTTTAAAGAGAAAACTATTTATAAGAAATAATTTAAGAGAAGTTTCAAATCTTGATTTATGTAGTATAATATTTGGTCTCGGTGCGACCGAATTTATATCTGAAAAGCACTTACGGATATAATTTAAAATAATTTCTATTAAGTTTACACATACCGTATTTATTATTCCAGAATGTCCTTCCCAATGAATTAGCAGCAAAATAAAACACTGCGCTGTTTTGCAGTATCAACAAACCATCCTAACTTGGCTGTAAAAATACCAAAGTAGATCACCTCTACGCTACAGTAAATCTCCCAAGATCTGGAGTAAAGAACTCTTTACACGAAAACACGCAAAATACTTTGAACACTTATCTCAAAATAATTTCAATTTTTATGTCACACATGTTGAATTTGTATATAATAAATTCAGGCGGAGACGAAAAGTTCAGATCTCCTTTCTTTAAGAATAGTTTTCTGAGAAAAGAGAGCGTGTAGTTCTACCTCTCTTTCTACCGAACATTAAAAATAAAGTTCGCTAGAGAAGCCTCACATTTTTAAAGAACTCTTTGAGGTTATTTTTAGCACTTACTCACTGAGTTTTAAGTAATTTTATCGTAGCTCTCTTTGAATAATAAATGGTAAAAAACATTCAAGATTTTCCTAGCATAAACATATTTGAAGGATATAAACATGCATTTTTACACAGTAGTTGTTTTTACATATTAAAAATCGAACGCAGAATGATTTATAAAGTAAAATGCGAAGACGTATATTATTAATTCATAATTTGCTTTCGAGTTTCGTTAATTAAAAGACATCGATCCCTAATAAACAGTCTTAGAACAAGAATCCTGCATTGATAAACTCACCAGTTGAAAGCCTGACTTAAATTCCAAGTATTCTTTCATGATATTTGATAATTTTTATTTCAAGTATTTTTGCTGTTTCCTTCAAAAATGCTTTAACTAACGTTATTTGAAAAACATTCACTGCTTAGATATCCTTACTAAGAACGCATTATTGGCATGTTTGACATATTTGTTACCAAATAAAGTAATTAACATCGAAATAAAGCATTCCTGTAAAAATTTCGCTGACTTTTAAAAATAGCTGACTGTGATAAAGAATAATACGTTAGCCGCCCAACCGGGATAGCAGTTAGCGATGCTGACTGCTTTTACCGAAGGGCTCGTGTTTGAATACCAGACAAGGCATGGATGTTTGTAAATGTATAGTGTCTGTGCGGCATGAAGGCACTCTAAATATGCGACGAGGCGAAAGCAAAGAACGTCTACGTAAAGAAGGAAAGGCTCCATAGACGTAATGTAAACCAGTTCTACGCCGCTAGAAAGAAGAGGGAAAATTCGCCAAGAAATTTGGCGACGGAACCTGTTGGCGAGAATTTCCCCCTCTGTGATGGACCTGATCTGGCCAACATTTTCCTCCTCCGCGACGTGTACAGGAAATTGAGGAACACAGGTTAAGATGAATAAGAAAATTAGTTGAAACTTCATTTTTACTGGCTGTTGAGCTTGCTTTATCCATATCGCAGTTTGATCTCTGATTTTATATCCGTCAATATGGAGGGAAAAAATGGAGTTACACAACTTTAAACTCTTCATAAAGTGACCGTTGAACCTGTTCGAACTTCGACATCAGCTTCGAGTTTTGGCGCTTTTGGCGACAGATATTTCACACATGCGCAGATGTTTCCCTTTTCATTCGAAGGGAACCACTCCTGTTGCTGCGAAGTTTTTCTTCTTAACAATGCATATTCTTTGGCGAACGTCCTCTCGAGAGTTTGATGGTAGGGAAAGAGAGGTGGGAGATTCCCGGCCCCGTGCCTCCGATGTGCTTGCTCTCCATCAAAATTGGAGGCGGACTGAGCGATGAGCGAAGTCGTACTGTACTGTATGGTGCTCAAGGCTCTTTCCAAAGACAGGTGCAGACAAGCCCACGATAAATTTCGTGGCTCCTAATGTTCTACCAGACAAGTGAGATAAGTCACACAACACACAGATGCAAGCTTACTACCTAAGTAAGGTTTTGTATTTGTGGTGAAGCATGTAAAAAATATTTTCAATTTCTAAATGCTTGCTTTTGTTCTTGTTTCTAACTGTATGATTCCGGATTATCATTTTCTTTATATTTTTGCCTACGCAAACTTATGGCTTCATTTTGCCATTGCCAAAAATTTGGCAACAAACGTAAACGCGTCATTTTGGTGTAGGCGACAGTTTTCAAAATCGCGCCAAAGCAGTACCGTATACTAGAATTTTACACAATTTGTTAATAGCGTCTTTAAATGAAACAGATATAAACTTGAGGAAATTCAAATTAAATAATCTTCTTTAGAGTGAATTGCTATAAATTTGGCTGAACTGGATGATAAAATTTATACTGCTTTACAGACGCCAAATCTGAAGATTCTGATTTTGAATATGAGAAAACTGTAGAACATCAAGAAAAATTAGATGTAGCTCGAATTTGTACTAAAGCTTGTCTTCATAAATTTTCAAATTTCTGTGAACCGTTGGCGACGAATCGAGGTGAAAAAATAAAATTAAAGCTCTCCAAAATAGAATTGTTAAATTTACCGGGCAGTGAGAGACTGGGTCACATTTTGAAGTCAGATCAGTAGAATTCATGATTATGAGTCAATTGGTTATAAATATAAATTTCATTCATCCAATGCATGCCAGCTGGCAGTACAGCCCGAGAAATAGTAAATAGCATTCCGCCAACTGCTGATAACTATGCAAAAGCCATTGATAGCTTAAAATCAAGGTTTGTCACGAAGAGCTTCTTGTTGAAAAATATGTCCGCGAACTGCTA